CCAGAAAGGATGGTGCAACGCTGCTGCATTTATTAGTGTACTAACAGAGCCTCCAAAGGAACCCCTCTTTCATTTCATTTGTAAGAGTAAGAATAAGATTGATACGAATTTAGACAGATTAGATCTAGATCTAGACCCAGTTTTGAAGAAAATATTCGAAGAGATTAAGAGTCTGGTATGACCAGTGCCTACCTTTCAGTTAATTGATATCAGAAGTAACCACTGCAATTTTGCCTCGTCTTCGTGTTTAATTACTTACTTAAACATCACAAAATCCAAGCTAGATCTACTAATCTGAGGTACCAATTTCACTCACATAAGTCACTGACTTAAGATATATTATAGAACCAAAGAGACGGCTTCAAATGGCCAATTGGCCTATCTGTTACTTACAAAGGAAGGACACGCCTGCAGTACAAATACATATTATATTACATAATTTATTCAGTTATATTCATCATTCAACCTGTCTCTTATTACTGTTTGTACATCAATTGTTAGCATAATTATTTCTATTGCGTTTTAAGCCACCCATGGTTCTGTTTTGTGTTTTCTTCCTCACCTACTTCCCCGAGTTCCCTTATTTGGCCAGGACCCTGGACCGGCGATCCTTCGTTCCGACCAGTCATGTTATAGAGGACATTTTAACGAGGAGAGAGCAGCGCCCCACGTTCGGCTGTCAGGGTCTGGGCCTAAAACAATACACCCTCCTCCTCCCCGCCCTTTTCCCCTTTCCCCTTTCCCCCTTTCCACCTTCACCCCAGCTAGACTCTAATTTCTAAAATTAGCATTTGAGCAGTGAACTGAGAGCAGAGAAGAGCAAAGAAGAGAAGAACCTTTGAATCGGACCGGAAATTATGGGTTAAATTTGTTCAATGTGTACGTGATTGTGAGTCTAGTACAGTGTACAGTATCTGATTCTAGACTTCATCTTCGTGGGACAGCGTCATTGGAAAGGTATTGACAGCACACAGGATTTATATTTTTACATAGCGAGTGCACGTCGAGACTTTGCGTAAGTGTGTGTGAAAAGTAGGTCTTTGGGTGATTACAGGGGGCAGGGCTAAAAAGTGGTTGCTTCTAACTTTCAGTTTGTTTTCTAGTATACCGTAGAAGTACAACGTATTTCTTGTTCCGTGTCTATCAAGTCAGATATATCCGTATTTTATTGGCCTCAAGTTAAGTCTATGTCTTGAAGCTCAGATTTACATTTTGAAGTTTGTAACGCTATGGATTTTCTTCTACTACGAGTCGTAAACCCTTTTTATATATTACTCCTTTTCTAACTCTCAATTTCTTCTCTCTCTCTCTCTCTCTCTCTCTCTCTCTCTCTCTCTCTCTCT